CTGAACTCCACATACACACAAGAAGGTGTCACTTTTATTAAATATGGAGAATTGTGTCAGATTCCAGCCCAGTAAAGTCAACATCTTTGCATTGTGTTTAACTTTTGTAGGGTATCCCAGTTCCCAAACCTGTTATAGAACACATGATAAATACTGTATTCACTATTGTTTTCCACAAATTCTGAATAAGGTTCAATAAAAAAAGTTATAAAAAATGAAAGAAAAAGTGAGCAAGCTCAAATACCCCACGCTCCTCCAAAGTTGAAGTGCTGAAATTCCCGGAAAACATAAAGGAATCAGAATTTCCTGGTAATATACACATCTACACATTGTGTCCTAAATATCTGCAATTTTACGAAATTGTGTGCAGCGGTTTATGAGGAGTTACTAGTATGCTGACAAACTGTTCATCTCTATATTCAAGATATGGCCAAAAATCTAAGTGTAAAAATGCGGAAATTCACTGAAAAAATAAAGGAATCGAAATTTCCTGATAATATGCACATTTACACATTGTGTCCTAAATGTCTGCAAAGTTTGACGAAATTCTGTGCAGCGGTTTATGAGGAGTTGCACTGACAAACTGTTCATCTCTATATTCAAGATATGGCCAAAAATCTAAGTGTTGAAGTGCGGAAATTAACTGAAAAAATAAAGGAATCGGAATTTCCTGGTAATATGCACATCTACACATTGTGTCCTAAATATCTGCAAAGTTTGACGAAATTCTGTGCAGCGGTTTATGAAGAGTTGCACTGACAAAAAAACAGGACTGACGGCTGACACTCTGACTGACTGACAGACTGACGGCTGACACTCTGACTGACTGACAGACTGACTGATGGATGGGTCAAAAACATTATACCTCACGCAACTTGTTGTGTGGGGTATAATTAGAGCATTGCTGAGAATAAATATTTAAAATGTTTATCATTTTAATTTTAAAGAAAAATTTACTTCTGTCCAATATTAGCTGTCAGATGACAATGAAAAATAGTGTGTTGTGACCTTGACAGTTGCATCCTTGGAGGTCGTACAGAACAGTCTGCCATCATGTGAGAAGCTGACATCCAAAACTTCATCTAAGTGTTCCTGCAGAGTTTCGCTGAGGAATGTAGGTGTTTCATAGGTCAGACGACGAAACTCATTCCTCCATGAAGTCTTTCCTGGTGGCAAATTTCCTTTCAAAATTACAAGTCAATACATGAATACATAAATATACAGCACATATACAATTACAGTAACTATAATCTGATTAGTCTTTCTAAAGTAAACTAAAATTTTCAGTAGACATGTTCTTTGAAAAGCTATCCTTGAAACCTTTGCAATATCTGGTTTTTCAAAGATGATGTTTGATAAAAAATAAAAATGCAATATTTTTATCTCATAATGATTTAATCTCTAAACAAGTTGCTTTAATTCAATATTCTTAATTTTCCATCATCTCTCAACATGAACATGTTGAACAATTTGTTTAAATTGAATACCCTTAATTTTCCATAATCTCTGAACAAGTTGTTTCCAAACAGCATCTTCCTTTGCCACTTGATACCATAAGTGGCAGGTCAAGGACACTGCATGAAGGTCGGCAGCCTCAAGGTAACAGAAGATATTTTTTAGTATCAGTTCAGGAGCCTCATCCCACATACCTTCTACTCTGCTCTTGACTGACTTTTCTACATGGAAGTAAAAAAACACAAAATAAACAAAAATACACTTTATTCAAGGAATAACTATCTAGCATTTTTTGGTTCTATGATGTAATCATAATCGAGCAGTTGGCTTGTTTGATAATTTGCCTATTGATGAGTCAATAGCTTTATGAAGAAATCAATTTTTTTTTTATTATTCATAGATTTTTATCTTGGAAATTTTGAAATTTAAAGACAAACAAGTCAATGTTTTTCTACCAATGAAAAAAAAATTACCACTCACAAAACAAACAATTAATTCTTTTTACATAACATAATGTAAACACATTATTGAGATTTAAATAACTGCTGCAAATGAAATATTTATGAAGAATATATTTTATGAAGAATACAATTTATCAAATTATTTATGGGTATCAATCTTGGCAAGGATAATTACGGAATAGGGATGGGGAAGGTCATTTGAATTGATTTCATAATCAAGTTTTCAAATTTGATATTTATTCCTTGAATAATCACAACACTTACACAGTATAAATGTGTACTTTGTATACTATACATAAGAATGTAAATTTTGCCAAGCAAAAAGTCAGGAGCTAAGAAGGCCTAATATGCATGTAAATCTCATGCGGTTGTCTTTGTGTCTGACGTCAGTGGGCGGATACTATTGAATTTGATATGGGAGGCCATGTGTAATTTAAATCTATTAGACAACATTTTTTTAATCTAAATTTACAATTTTATTTCACAATGAAATGGAAACATAAGGAAAAATTGTATTGTTTGTTGGGTATGCCAGGGGCATCAACGATAGTGGGTAACATGGGACAATTTATGCATAATGGGTTTTGCCCATTATGCAAATTATCCCATGTTTCCAACTATTGTTGATGCCCTGGCAAACCCAACAAACTAGAAAGTGATTCCTTAAATACCTTGAATACATCTGATTACATAGTTTTATAAAGTAACAAAACAAACAGAAAGATTTTTTTTTTATTTCAGTTAGTCTGAACTTATCAAAAATACACCATATATAACTTTAATATTACAACTATATACAATTTCTAGCTACAGACAGGTCCAGTCCAAAGACTATTTCTACCTACGTAGCTATTAATAGCTATAGGTATTTAAAGCTACCCAAAGTAGCTATTTTTACCTACTTTCTGCTTTACCTGCAATATCCTGCATATTGTGGCCAAATGCAGGAACGGCACAACATGGTGAGCAACAAAAATCTTGATACTGTCACACTGATGATGGATAGGACAAAAATTTGGCCAAAAAATGATTACTTCGTATATTATCAATTTTGCTAAGAAACTTATGTAAAATTGCAGATTCAGGAAGTAATCATTTTTTGGCAAAAGATTTGTTGTATTCATCGCCAGTGTGACTGTATCAAAATACATGGTATTCGCCATGTTGCGCCGTTTGGTCTTTTGGTCACAAAATGCAGATAATACAAAAAGTAGGTAAAAATAGCTACTTTGGGTAGCTTTACATACCTACGTAGCTATTAATAGCTACGTAGGTAGAAATATAGTCTTTGGACTGGACCTGACAGACATTGACTATGTTGAGTACGACTAAAAATGATCAATTGATTATTTGAAAACATATTCAATATTAAAGTGAGTGTCCTGTTTACAATATCAGCCAATCTTGAAATAAAAATGACATAAATTACCTTAAACAAAAAACAATCGTGAAATGACCTGACCAATTTGTTTGTTGTTGCTGTCAATATCAACCGGATATAATGTCTGCCTGCGTAAAGAAAAGTTTTCCACGTAAACGTTTGGAATTCCGGATAGAAAAGGATGTCATGCTCTACACTTTTTATCATGATACCAATATATTACATTGTACTTGCTGTAATAACCTGGTTTAGGCCTACTATCAAATACTCAATTTTTAAAAAAAATTTTAAGACCAGTAATGTAATCTTAATTGCTTTTTGGAAACGTAGCTGTATAGAATTTCTTATAAAAACAAAGTCCTAACAACTGGTGGTAATGGTATGAAACAAATCAGCCAAATACGGCCATGGGCGCTCCCTATTCTCTTTAGAGAAGTAGACAGTCTTTCGCCTGGATGTAGGCGAAAGCCTGTCCACTTCTCAAAAGAGAATAAGGCGCTCCCCAGTTGATTTTATAGTATAGAGGGGTAGAATCTAGTATATACAGATGCGGCAGACTCTGTGATACATATATTAATCATATATATTGATTGATTGTATGTTGTGTTAACGTCCATCTCCAGAATTTTTCACTCATATGGAGACGCAAACACTTGCGGGTGCATGGGCGTCGGAAGCAAATTGAAAGGGGGGCTAATCGAAAGGGGGGGGGGGCTAAATCAACAAAAAAAGGTAAATCACAATTTTCAATGCCTATATAATGTCTATTTTTGCAAAAAATAAGGGGGGCTAAGCCCCCCGGTTCCGATGCCTATGGGGTGGAGAGCTACGAATATTGTCCTATATTAGACACTCAGAGAGGGAGCACCTACTGCGACACGGGTCCTCGGGTTATACATGTACGGTCTCATCCGACACCGGAAGGACCTGTCTCCACGTCCCACAGTGGGATTCGATCCCGCGACGTAAAGATCGACTCCTTACTTCGCGACTCTAGAATAGACACTCCAACTACTGCGCCGCGAAGGCGACAATACTGATATCTTTTAATTAAAGTCACAAAAAATATTCATTCACAAAAACCATGCTAGAAATGTCAGGAATGCTGCTTTTTTGTGACATTGTGAATATGATTGAAAGATCATGGAAATAAATTATAAACGATTGTGGTTAAGAAAAAAATATTAGATTTATATGGCACGCCAAATTCACAAAAATGAGCTAAACATAGTTTCACAGTTGATAAACTGGGTTTATCGACTGTATACTATAGTTTACAAACCGTGAACTATATATAGTTAACAATTCGTTAACTATAGTTTTCATCTGTAAAACTATGTTTAACGGTTGTTAACTATAGTTTACGAATGCTAATCTAAGTTTATCTGTCTGTAATAAAACGTTAACAATAGATTTTGTTGCTAATCATAGGTTCACGTCTGTAAACTATAATTTACAATCGTAAACTATATAGTTAAGAGTTGTTAATCATAGTTTCACAAATCGTGAAACTATATTTATCAGATCGTTAACTATAGTTAAGAGTTGTAAACCATATATAGCTTAATTAATGGCGGACACCTGTGATCACTACCATTTGCATTTTCTTCTTGATCTTCGCTCTTTGGGACAATTCAGTAATCTTGTTGTTAAAATGATATCTTAGAAGGCAAGGATCAAATCAGAGATAATATGTAAACAATAGCACTTGCAAGATTGATTGGAAATATTAAAACGTTAATTTTTATCAGTTCTCTAAGAAATATAGTCCTCTGATTATGCATGTATTGAAATCAGAATTTCAGTCACAAAACAAGATCTACAATGTATTCAATTTAAATTCTAAGCAATAAGTAGCGTTTTTTATGGATTTACAAATACTAAATACAAGTTCCTGAGTGGGAATAAGATATGAAGTATCCCTACTCTGAACTATTTTAGCGAGGGTAAAATGTAAACAACTGGCTGCAGCAGAGATCGTGACCTACATATATTTGTATTGAACGTCGATCGCAGGCAAGGGAGAGAACAGAGCAGTATGTATACACTAAAACAAAACAGAAGGAAGCGTTCTGCTTGAATTGAAACATGCAATTAAATAAATTTGGGGTTAACATAGAGGCGTCTGAGGCGCAATAGTCCCTATTGAGCTCCAAAATTCACCGTAAATTATTACAAACGCGAAGTTATTTTTGCACGTCACAGTAAATTATCACAAAAGCGAAGTTATTTTAACCCCTCTGTTTTTGTAATTCATTAAAAAAAATCTGTTCAGAATGTAAAAATATCATCCCGATCTTATAAATCTGTTTGATGCTATCACTGTTGAAAAAGGTGAATAACAGCGGAGCAACTGTACCTATTTCGCGGCATGCTAATGACCACTTCATCGAATACTCGGTCGGAACTCCTCTAGAATTTAGGATTCCACATATGAAAAATTACGTCGTTCCAAGTTATACACAACACGACGCAACACAGCTGGACATCTATCGATGTCATACCGAAGGTAGATCATTGTTAAAATGATTAAATCATGCTGTAATTAGAACATAACCTACTTATTCAGCCAATCAAATGCTTCCATTCCTCGCGAAGAATTGATTCTTCATGGTGAAGAATTCTTCTATGTAATAGTAAGATCATATGAAGAGAAATCTTCGTCATGAAGAATGGGCGGAGCGAAGCGGAGCCCATTCTTCATGACGAAGATTTCTCTTCATATGATCTTACTGACTTAGAACAGAACCTCAGCCAATCAAATGAATGAATTAAAAATAAACTCCTCCCACGGCTGTGTCATATACTAGTATAAGGCTCAACTTGACCGCTCGTTGTGCATATCGAGCACGCAATCAATATCGAACACACGTGGTTTCAGAATGGACTCCCAACCCAGTCAGGTTAGCACGAAATTATATGAAATAGCTTGATTTACTGGGGAAATGGTATGGTGAAGATATTAAAGTTACTGGAACTAAATGAATACCCATGTAACAAGAATCGTAATATCTATATTTTTGAAAAATGATTGTGTTAAGATGACAAGGCCCTAGTCAGCAGGAGTGGGTATCGCTGTCTAGAATCAAATAAAATTTTGTTGAAAATTGTGATTAAAATCTGTCTTCAAAGACAATGTTCGTCTCTGATATACATGACGGTGGTTGTATTTTCTGTATGTACCGAAATGTGAAAAAAAATAATATTCAGAAAGGCGACAAAAGATTACAGTGGGGAAAAAAGTGTAGCAAGGCTTAGAAAGTTTAAATATCATTGTAAACAGCACGTGGGTTTTGAATAGTTTCTTTTTGTGTGTTGAACAAAGACCAATGAAGACACACCCATTTAACTGTTAAGTGAACCAATCAGACACCGTTGAATTTTTCAGAATTAGAACATAACCTACTTATTCAGCCAATCAAATGCTTCCATTCCTCGCGAAGAATTGATTCTTCATGGTGAATTCAATTTAATCACAATTTTCAACAAAATTTTACTTGATACTAGACAGCGATACCCACTCCTGCTGACTAGGGCCTTGTCATCTTAACACAATCATTTTTCAAAAATATAGATATTACGATTCTTGTTACATGGGTATTCATTTAGTTCCAGTAACTTTAATATCTTCACCATACCATTTCCCCAGTAAATCAAGCTATTTCATATAATTTCGTGCTAACCTGACTGGATTGGGAGTCCATTCTGAAACCACGTGTGTTCGATATTGATTGCGTGCTCGATATGTACAACGAGCGGTCAAGTTGAGCCTTATATATGACACAGCCGTGGGAGGAGTTTATTTTTAATTCATTCATTTGATTGGCTGAGGTTCTGTTCTAAGTCAGTAAAATCATATGAAGAGAAATCTTCGTCAAGAAGAATGGGCTCCGCTTCGCTCCGCCCATTCTTCATGACGAAGATTTCTCTTCATATGATCTTACTATTACACAGAGACATGCATGTATATTTTAGAGCTATTAATCTAGTTTACATAATAATTTATACTTGTAATAAATTTATTATTATGCGGTTTCTATTAGGCCTACTCAGTATTCATAATTTTAAGAATTCACATATAAGGAATTTGAAAATGAACTTTGAAGAGGATGTAACAACTTTAGATTGATAATAGCGAATAATTTGTTTTCAAGCTGTAGACATAATATATTTTTTTTAACTATACCTTATGCTAAGTATTTTATTTTTGATAGTAATATTTCAAATCTTAATAATAATATAGATTTTGAATTGATGGCCGAATTCAGTCACTAAAGTAAAATCACTAATCCCCTAATCTACTATTTGGGAAGTCAAATTTTAAAATGCAGGATTTATACCTTTCTTTAAAATGTCAAAATGGGCCTGCTTTTGGCTAAAAAAAATACTAAAAGAGAGAATTAATTTTTGATTGTATTAAATGCTATCTGCATCGATGATAAATGTCGTCTCCTTGCTCCAGGGCACTTTTGATCTAATTTCACTTTTACCTATAAAAAAATAATAGTACATTTTTGTACATGTATTTGTGGAAAAGTGAGACTGAGATCAAGAGTGAGCTCATCTAAGTTTTATGGCCACAGAGCGTGCATGCTGCAATTTCAAAAATATATGACACGTAAATTATTTTCTTTTTCATACATTCATAAATATATGTATGGCAAAGATTCTTTTGTTAGCATTTTTATATTTGTATAACTGAGTATTGCCAAACTCCCTAAATCCGTCACTATATCCTAACTCCATCACTTTCCGGAAATTCCATGCAGTTTGTAAATGAGAGCGCTTGTGACGTAATTTATGCATGCTGAAAATCTACAATTACATTCAAAGCTACTATAGCAATCAAGTTAGAAAAAACGACAAAACAAATTTACACTAATTCAATATTATAGGTATCATATTGAAATCAGTAAGCATCTTTTCCCCTTATCTGCTATTCCATAACTGCGTTAACATGGTCATTTTTACACTGTCAGTCATTTTTATGAAGGTCTATTACAAAGTTCCACATGACTACCATGTTGAAAGCTAACTTATTTTATTTTTTTTATAACCAATTGCATCAATGTACTACGCATTGTGATAACGTAAGCGCAACATTTTTACATACATGTATA